GGGTATTTGTGCACTGGGACATGGTTGGCTGCATCCGATTTCGGATTTGCCTGTCACTGTGGCCAGCCACAGGACGCCTGCGCCTACGAAGGGACCATGGGTGGCTTGCGCTGCACCACCCACAGCTCCATCCACACACCCCATATCCAATGTAAACCCGAAGCAAAATAAGACCGGGAGGCATGTGGATGGGAGCCACATTTCATCAAAGGAGCCGGCCCACACTCCTTCACAGGCAAACACAAGCACACTGTATTTGGGGAATCAAGCGCACACAAGGCGGTGGCTGGACCGTAGTCCGCTCCACACTGAGTGCATGGGACCACTATTCGATCCTAGCACAACCACAAGGACCGTGCACCCCGTGCACTCCAGCAACGACAAACTATCTCCTAGACCCAGTATGGACGAGGTGGGGGGTATTAGATAGGTAGACACCTTGGCAACATGTACATCAAGCGCAACCACACCAGGGATGTCAAACCACAGCCAATCATTTGGAATGACATTACCAAGTAAAATACATATGTTAACGAATACGGCTATGCAGACATAACACTTCCCTAAATTAGCATATGAAGTAAATTGGTTAGCAACGAACCCGCGATAAGCACATAAGGTCCATAAGTGACTCAAAAACGCACTAACGTTAAGTAAGATAACCACAATTACCGTAAGCAACGTGGCCAGTTGATAGAACATTATTCAGGTAGGCAGAGCAAACCAAATAAAGTGGAATGAAATTTATCCAGCTTATAAAGACCTAGTTTAAGTGTAATTTGGTTTAGCCAAACTGCGGTGAAGAAGCATCAAAAATGCAACATCAGCATCAGCATGGGGAACGCATTGGGACATACAGCATGCAGAACACAAGTTAAGATTGACCACCCACGACGTCACACATCTGCGCGGTGCTTTACCACGCCACGAATGTTCCGCCCGACATTTCTTGACGCAATCAGTCGCCAGTTGCTTCCGGGGTTCTTCTTGTGGCAGCTCGATCTGAAGCTTTTGAGCGTTTACTTCGTGTTAGACCGTTGGCATATCCCATAATTTGCACGTTTCTACCACACTACTCGCACTTTGTGCATCATAGCGTAAAACACACGTCAACTATCCAACGAAAACCAGGATGACTCGGTGAGTGGAGAAAGTACACGTGGGTCACGATGCCTGTTTAGATAAATCAGGGGTTGTTAACCTCAAGGTAGAATGGGAGTTCGCGAGTAGACAAAAGATAGGTACAATGATGGGATCATCGCTCATCCAGGAAACAAAATTAGTGACAAAATAATCTGTATCAAATCACCCAACTAACTACCTAAGTATAGGTGATTTCTTAGTGAATTAGGCAATTTCAGGGGGAAACATTATAACCTTAAATTTGAATGCAAGTTCGCACTGTCTCATTAATTTATATTACCTCTAGATATAATAATGAAAATTGCTCAAAAATAGGTATTTCTTTTGTTTGAAATTCATTGAAAACAAAATTTATACTCCATAATTAAAAGCGAGAATGTGCGACAGCTGATAGTTAAATTGTTTTTCAAACAAAATTATTTGAGGTAATTGTCTATATTGAACCTGCTTTAGGGATAACCGCCACAAAAAGATTGGGAATCATTGAGATAAATCAATGAACCAGAGATACCTCGAGTTGCTTGGTGTCCTCATGGCATTAGTGTGGCACGACTGTGTCGATGCTAAAGCAGGTTGGTTAGGCTAAACTACGCACTATTTGATCCATACGTATCAACAAGCAGCTTGTTTTTCGTGCGTTTGAGCAAAAACCTTAGGATCTGGCCATACCAATGTCAGCAGACGACAGTCATTTTCCCCAGGGCCTGAACTCAACAGTAACCCCTAATCGTTTCTTGATAGCATAGCGTATACAGTGCAAGGTTTTTGAGAACAACCGCTCGTTGCCACTGCTACATCTTGCAGATTTTAAGGGGACAAGAGCATAAGGGCAAACAAGTGGATCACTCAGGAAATGAGGGGATACGTCATATCTGTGAGTAAAAAACGAAGCACAGTGATTTAGAAATATCACAACCAAAGCTAAGGTAACTAGAATGGACACGTGAGATGTAAACCCAAAGAGTCACCGAATCGAAATGTCTAACCAATAGGTGGCTGGCGTCGTCAAGTCACTGGAATGGTCGCCAGTTTTCCTCCTGTTGGTCCGTTGCCAAGCAATTTTTTCTGTGCATACAATTTTGGGTCTTGGAGCCGAATTGCAACTGCCTGTGCTGCCGACTGCAAGCGGCATTTGACCGCTCGTGTTTGGCGTCTGGGCACACAGCAGCTAGGCTTTAATGCATCATGCGAATTGATTTGGTGATCGAAGTCCATTAGCCGCGACAACACTGCACTCGTCACAGTCTTGCACACACCGCCATATAACCAAGGTGGAAAATACTCTCGAGCTCCTACGGCTTTGGTGCTTTCCAAATATACATTGCTCGACAAGAGCAAGAGAAATTGTGCACATGAAAGGAAATCTGTGGTTTCCTCTCACTGAATAGCTCGCACACGATTGGTGCATAGTTTGGCCGCAAAGTACGCTCGCACTGTGACCAAGGAAAGCCTTCGTGTGAGACTTCCCGCTATGGCGTCACCCTTAAACGACAAATATAAGGACCGCTTTTCCGTGGAGAACAACAGACCGTGGCTCCACATGCTTCTGGATGAATTTTTCATGATATCCCTTGCGTTCGAACACGCATTGGAGATAACAGCTCGTCTGCACATGTACTTCTTACTCTCTCCGTTAGGTAATACAGACGAAAAACCGCTTCATCGGTGAACACAATGGAATGTACGTTCAGGTTGTTTAAAAATCAACGGGCGAATGGCAGGCGATTCTGTGAGTCGCCGGTGTTCAACATTTGCACATGCAGTGCACTGTACCGTCGGAATCTTTTTCCTTCAATATCTGATGCACAGCATACGGTGCGGTTTCGCAATGTTGTGCGATTTGCCGAATGATGAGATGACTCTTACTGCACACCTCTTGCACAACCGCGAAAGCTGATACTTCATCCGTGACGGTGCGAGGCCATCCGGTTTGTTTGATGTTGCAAACGCTGCCAGTTTCACCGCCCGACGCATATACCGCTCGTTAATGGGCCGCGCAACGCAGTGCATACTGTTATAACGTCTTGCGGTTTTTGCCGCGTTGGACCTAAACGCATCATACAATCGCATAATGACCACGCACAGATGGACCGGCACACTGCGTGACTACGGCTGCGGATACATCGACGACACGGGTGTAATCTCCTGTTCCACAGCTAAAGCAGCGAGCCACTAACCACCTCGCAGGGATCCCTTAGGCTGGCTTTCTCACCTACGTGTAAGTCAACTACCAATCAATCGAAGGATGACACGTCGATTGCGGCTTCGGTGTTTGGCTAACACACTTCTCATAGCCGGTTCCCTTAGTGTGCCCTGCAATCGAAGCATGACACGTCCAGTGCGACTTCACTGTTTGGCTAACACACAGCCGAACGGTTCGATTCCCTTGGTGTGCCTTGCGATCATAGGCACACAAGTACCGCCTCTGTGCCCCATCTCACTACTGCCGACACGTTCGGCAAAGCAATAAGCGCCATTGGACAGTTGGCAATTCAGCGTGCAGGGATACGTCAGCACCTGAGCGCAGCCGCTCCTAGTTTCAGACGTAATTAATAAAACATCACGTAGTATCCGCCTTAGAAGCAAATTCTTGGAGGCACTCTTCTACTCGGTTTGTATTCAAATATATGAGAGTCAATTACATTCGTCTGTTGTAGACAACGCAGGCGTTCCGTTATGGATCACGCGACTGACTGTGTGGCGCATCCATTCTTGGAAATTTTGACCCATCAGTAACAATGATATACATCCTCCTAATATAGTCCAACCTGTCCATCAGAGCAAACCCGGTTCATGTATCCGGTCTAGACAACACTACATTTTTGTTTCGCTTGAGATTTTTGGGTGCGTCTAAGTGGTTCCACTTCAGTAGATGTTTGACACACGGTTTAAAACTTAGGTTTTCTAAAATAGGGTCAACCAGAGTCGAATTATACGGCTCAGACCGATGAAGGCATAACCGCGGCTAGTTCGGAATATAAACTGTCAAATTAGACCTGCAAATCTAGTGGTTTAACACAGTTCTGTGGGCAACAGAATTTCGGACCCAATGGAAAAGGCGCTAGTAGAACCCTAGCTAATAGCAATGAGGAGAAATTGCGAACGAAACATCTGGGTCAGATGGAAGTAAATTCTGTGGCGTACTCACAGAGCTGATGCGAATCGCTGCACGCTTCGGCATGTGTTTTACACCTTCAAAGTGCAATGTATTGTTGCAGGACTGGACTGAAACACTCCACCGATCTTAGTTATCACTGAAGAGCTACTGGAAGTGGCGGAGCGGTTCACTTAACTTGGTAGATGTGACACCTTTGATGCAAAGGCAACCTATCGGCGCTGATTCACACTACTTTTGTTCGGGATAAGACCGTCGCAATTAGACGAATCAAACCCGCAATCTGAGTACGGAAACAGCTGTTTTCTTGTGTTCTCCACTCCCTCACCCTATAGTCATGTTAATGTTTTGATCCAAGCGAGATAATACAAAATGCTAGCATCTGCGAATTTTCGCTTATTTATCTAAATAAACTGTCGATCAATTTAAATGTATGTTTGGGGGCCTAGTGGTCGCTGATAGACAACAATTCTACATCGATTACATGCTGATGGCTAGGCGACTGGTGAAACAAGGGTAGTCGAAATATTCGTATTATTCTACATCAAAGTCGAAATAGTCCCAAGAGGACTGGACAGGGGATATCGAACAGGTGAGGCCTTCACAACATCTGCACGTGGATGAGAGGAGATTACATAGGATGAATCGCAATCGAGGAAACTATCTCGAAGACTAACTCTAAGCAGGATGAACTAAGTGATCAGTGAAAATGAGCGCGTCAAATGAAGCCAAAAAGACGGGTTGAAGAAAACATATGGTTTAATAATAATGGTCAAAGGGAAAGGAAAATTAAAAGATGCCAAAGAGAGAAGACACAATCACAAATGTATGTGCAAAGTACCAGGGGTAAGTTAGTGGGTATAAAATACAAGTAAGAAAAACCAAGAATGATGAGTGCGTCACGTGAACACCGTAAAAGAGAATAACGAATCAAAAAGATGGCGCATTTCACTGTACAACGGCATGAATGCAAAAGGCGTGAAAGAGAGTGGAAGTGAACATCAATTACGGAATTGGTACCTTGATAAAGCACTGAAATCAAGAGGACTAGGAGAGCACGACAAGGCAGACGCAATGGAAGCCCGATGGGAGATCATGAGGAACGTTGGAAAATGGATAGTAGCTCCTTGGCAGCTTTAGCAATTTGGTGTGTATGCTGAATCAGCGTATTCACTTCGGGTGCGAGAGCTCGGGGAATTACACCGGTGGCCCCGCTACCTTGACGCTGAGCTGCACCGGAAGACTTCAACCGACGTGACATGAGCTCACAATGCGGCCGCAATTGATTGGATGCAGAGGATAGATCGAGAAGCGCACGTTCAATTCGGCTTGGACACTGCCCGAACGGAGGGAACAGGCTCAGGATGTCTTTCGCGGCGGATTGAATGAGAAGCGAACAGTGGGCGAAGTCCCCGGTTTGTTTACCGTTTGCCAGCTGAAAAGGTAGGAGGGAGAAACAGTAAAGATGATAATTAAAGTACAACGGGCATCGAAGATGAGTTAAAGTAGCATACTGAGGAGAATGATGGAAAACGTGGTAGCGTATCTAAATCGACGTGTAACCAATGGTGGCACCACACAGAAGTAACCGTCAAAGACTGGAGGTGTGCGCAGACGGTCGCTAACGAAGTAACTGTGGAGTTGCCACCCACTGGATCTTCGATAGTTACCAAACATTCGGCTGCTCATCGAAAATGCTCCCTCTGTGCTATGCAGTGAACATCGAAGCGGTTGCTAAAATTCTCGTTACGGTCAAGCAAGTGAAGTGAGAGAGGCATCAGCAGTACGCCGATACACAGTACCGACGATTCGCTGCCGCGCAAACATCACCGGGCGCACGTGGGATGAGGATACTTCGAGGGTCGCCTAGTCCTTAAGCAGGTTTGAATCCGCACTCTCGGATTACAAAAGAGGCTTGTGATCCTTGGGCCACGGGCCGGAAAGTAAGTTAGGTGCATAAGTGTCACTCCGTGACCATGTGAGAGGATAGTGCTAATTGTTAACGAGCGATTTGTGTGCAGACTATCAAGGCACACGTAATTTCGGGCGTTGATAAACAATCACATCCGAATGCCATCTTGTTAGGCAAGTGTTCATAAAAAGTGATAATCAGAATGATATAGTGAGGTCTAAACAGTAAGTATGCAAACGGTTGTGCAGCCATCTCGAAGTGAACCGAAAACCGGTTCAACGCACCCCAGATGGTAAGGTAGTGGTGCGGTTGCATCTGGTTTTCCAGCTCAGGCTAACACAATAAATGAATGATTTATCATGGATAAAAAGCAACTACTTGGCAATTCCAGTAGAGTCGACTGGGTGAGTTGACGGCAAAGTACGCGTTAACTGTATTGATTCATGATGATGTTGGGTAGAAGGGAACTGAATGTCAGCAAAAAAAAAAACAAAGTGCGACTTTACTTAACCAGCATGACATGCGGGACAAAACAAAATCTTCCATTTCCGTGGTGCTTCCTGGTATCCGTACGATATCTAATCCCCGGAAGAGTAAACAACATACCATGAAATATTAAATTTCATGTAACAAATAGCATGTATCCAAGAGGAATATCCAATCGTTTTCAATTACAGCCAAAGTAGAAAAGGAAACATCCGAGGTTGGGAGAACATACTAGGGTTTGCAGGTGTAGTGTCCATTCAGTTTCTGGCGGTTACCCAGGAAGACGGGGTTATGAGTGAGTTTCAGAGCAAGCGGCATGTGCAATTGGTAGCCCTAAATACTTTGTAGTCTAGTACGAAACTATCGTCAACTGAACCTCTTGAGACTTTGCTGATAAAAGAGGTTATGCAGCCCTACGAGGTTCTTTGTTGCCCGGCGTCTTGCGACACTTGGCACTGTGGGAACATGTTTCACCCAAGAGCATGAAGAAACAAGGGAAAACGAGTATGACGAGGAAGTCAGATGGGTCCAGACTCCGGAATGTCCTCCGCAAATGATTGATGCGTTAGTTACTCCATTTTAAAGGTCCTCAAAATGTTTCGAAGTCATTCTGTGTGGGTACGCCTAGGTCAAACTCCCGGAAGCTGGTCTGCTGACGAATTGTTCCAAGGCAAGTCGATAGTGAATTTGAAGCACTCGGTACCTATGGGCGCTTAATGGTTGGCTCTTGTCAACTTGACAATTCTAAATCTTGGTAAGGTATTCATCACAATAGTTCACAAGCTACATAGCTCAACCACAATCCGGAAAAGCATCAGAGGCGTTTCGCTCTATTGGGGCCCGTCAGCGGTGCGCATTCCCTCGGTCCTCTAAGGAGGATCGTACCCATGACTGCTAGAGGCAGATGTCAACTAGCCAGCAGCTTAAGTCACCGAGCCATAGTGGACGTTGGCTGAGCTATACAAGTTGCAAGTTAACTGGGATATAACACCACCTATCTTCCACTATCACTGACAGTGACTAGGCTGTGAGGTGATGACGTCCTCTTACTAGACGCTGTATCTATAGCATTTTGAAACTAGGGGAGGCTATTTATTTTTTAGTACTTGTAAGTAGCAGGATTTTACTTGTAATTTTGGTAGGGTATTCATTCCGATAGTTCACAAGCTACGTAGCACGGCCTAGTCCGGGAAAGCACCAAGATCATGTTGGATACTCCTGCAGTCATCTGGTCCTCTGATTGATTGTCACAGAATCCTCAAAGAGTAGGAAATTGAAGATAAAAACAGTAGAAATACGATTCCGATGTGATATGACCTCTCGTAGACCAACTGATAGGGATGATGTGCACATCCATTTTTGGATGAGTCTCGTGATCGGAGACTGCATCAGACATGTCTCAGCCATGAACACGCCGGTGCTCCTGCATTTCTTCGACAAGTACCGTTATTTTTCTACCTGTTTGTTCGCATTTAACTACTGTTACAAGCTACTGAATTTCTTGTTTTTTTACAGTGGAAATCGGATCAGTCGTTTAAGTGAAATGAGCCCAAGTACCCGAGTAGCACGGCTGGAGAAAAATTTTAACGTCAAAAATGCAAACTACAGATGGAAAAATTGAAATAAGATGCACAGCTGTCACCGAATAAACGAGCCCATATATACCGATGATTTGCATCATGTTCCTTTAAAGGAACGGTGTCGGAGCCCAGTTTGTCACTCGGGACGATGAGTCTTCAAGTTATGAAAACGCCTTTTGATAACTTTTCGCTTAGCAGACGCAGTATCTCAAAATCCTCTTTCAAAACTCAGCGCAGTACAGCAGAAATGACCTTGAAATAGCGTAACCAAAGAAAATGTCAAATATATTTGGTGAAAAGTGTTTCATCCGCGGCACTTAAATAAAAAATGATGCTCCAATGAAAAAGTGATGACAGATTAAAAGTTCCCACCACTGTACATCAGATCTATGGTAGCTATGTTCGGTAACCGATTCATGAGAAAAACGTAGTGTTCTCCGCTGAACTTCGCACAGAAACCCATCATCATTGCAGAAACAGTGCAGCCTCTGAAAACAAATGGTGTCGGAGGTCCAGACGTGTTCGCAGCACTCGTTCAAGTTAGCGCATGAATTGACCATGAAAACATTCTTTAAGAGTAAATACATGAGCAAGTACTGGGATCAAGTGATGGAAACACAGACAAGGCAACATCAACAGTGAACGTTTTCTTTTCTTGCGCATTATCAAATAGCAATGCTTGGGACATGAAGTGCTATGATAGCCTACAACTCAAAGACTGTTGTGTCGCTCCTGACGTCTTCACCCTACGACCGCAAGAAGAAGTCCAAAGACGAGCCGGAAAGAAATTGTATACATGAAAACACATTTTCTTATATAGTTTTAAAGGCAAAATGAAGGGAAGCTACCAAATTACACTTGAGCCAACCAACAGAAGGAAAACTTCAAATGCAACCGTGTAATCGAGAGCGAATCGCATATGTCCTTAAAAATAGCAGCATGGGACCCCAAGCGTAAAGCGAACATCCAGTTACAGTGACGGGCACTGGCAAATAAGAATAACGAAATGTAGTGTTTAAACAAATGTCACGAAACACCCGAGAATAAGAGGTGCAGACCCAAAAAACTTAAAACTAGTAAAATAATTGCGTGACAGCTAAATATTCCTTTAACATAACCAAGTAGGAAGGTGGTGAGGAGAACAACCAATGGAATGTGTTCTTGTAAATCGCACTGCTATAGACGACACGGAGATAAGCGTCCATTAACAATGAAATGTGTGTATCAATCGGGTTAACACAGGGAAGCGTTTAAACAATAGTCCAGAATTAGAAAATAGGAAGAATAAAGAATGGCTATTAAGCTCGTTCACAAAAAATGAATGCCAAATAGGTATTCTCCTAACAAAGACCAAACAGGAAACCTCGTGGGGATCAAATAAATAATCGCAGATGTCAAGTGCGTCTGCAGCCTCACCTGATTATGAAATCTGTGAACAATCGGTCGAGAAGCCAAAGGATGATGCAAAATTTGTTGCTGAGTATTGACAACATGATGCGGTTACCATGTAGACTGTCATGGTGTCCAAATTCGCGGGCAAGCACATGTGTTCTGAGATGCCACGGACGATTCCGGATACATACCGGTCTGCTTGCAGAACGGTGGGGAGCCTAACCACGGAGAATCAAGTTCCCGAGCCAGGTGGACAATCGTTCTGCCTACTATATTAGCAGCACTGTTTAGTTAACACACCATAAAGTCGTTCATTTGACTATGGATTATTGAAAGCGCAAGATTCTCATAGTCTTTTATAATTTACCAGAACTGTTAAGCGTGATTTCAACAGTTCATTGGCATTCTCCTCACAATTGTCACCAGAGTAGGTGGAACAAATATCGAGCACCGTACTTCAGTAGAATCCAACACTAGAGGCACAACAACAGCGCACCTCCTGGGGGTTGACAAACAAGACAAGGAGTTGAGTGAACACTTAGCTTCTCACTGGGTGGTTAGAGATATCTGCTGATTGGATTTCGTAGATAATTTAGTGGATTTCTGACAAACTTTCAAAATTCCAGAGCGCATCACCTTATCTGCGTTCACGCATGTGATCGATTAGTTTAATATGGTAACTAGTGCGTGTGAAAAGTGGCAATTTAGCCCGACACACGCAAGCCAACCTGAGTGATCGTTGCTCTCGAGTGAGCTTAATAGCATAAAATTCCAAACGCCCATCAGTTTTGATGAGTCTGGTAAGTAGAAGATTCTGAAAATGAAAACTTTTGGGGCCATTAAACTTAACAGGCTCAAATGATGGAAAGTCGGGTAGTTCACCGTATACAAATCATAGGAACATCGGTTGAAATCGAGCAAATGACCAACGCTCACAAAGAAGTGAGTAAAGCATTCTAACCTAACGCCTAGAAACGTCGTCGCATGCTTTTGAATCGAGCTATCGTTAGTCCACAGGCTAACGTACCGACAAATTCAAGAACTACCGAATTACAAACGTGAGAG